CTTCATACACTTCTTAGGTACTCGTAACAACTTGAATAGCCAAGGTTGTAGGTATAATAGAAATGTTTCGTCAAAGAGATTTAAGGGCGATGTTTAAGGGACTGTTACGTCATACGATTACATATAGTGTTGTGTTCAGCTCCACTTGTAATTTAAAGTTGGCTGGAATTCATACAGTTGTATTAGGAACACTTGTTTCGCTTTAAAGTGTCACTGATAAACCCCCACCATGTCCATACTCTAATTCTTAAAAAGTAAGCAAAGGCTGAGGAAGGTCCTGTATGAGTATGTACATACTCTGCCACGCACCATTAATCTGTTCCACTAGTGGAATTTGCTCTAATGGACCATGAATCAAGACGACAAAAGTGAAACCGTATATGAAAAGTCTGTAAGTAGAATTTTATAGCAATTTAATTTTTTTGTATTTTACTTGAATAAAGTGATGTAAATGGGCGCTAATAGTTGATGAGGTGGTTGACAGCCTCTTTAAAATATTTGTGAGAACTGTATATTTAATACATTTTATCTAGTTCTTTTTTCAACAGTGAGGATCCTAGTATGCTTGGCATATAGTTGACAAGTTTAATTAGAAGCCGATATCACTTCCAGTCTGTACAAGTTGTAGAAGGTAAAGTGACATTTATTGAGCCACTTGCCTCTTGCACTGGACAATATTATATGCTTTCTATATGTTAGTTATTCCTTATTACACATTAGGAGCTAGGTGGTAGTTTCATTTTTGCAAATAAGAGAGTTGAGGCTCAGAGATTACTTGCCTAAAACCCTGCAGTTAGGAAGTGACAGAGCTTAGAACCCAGCTCTTTACAGCTTTTCTGCTTTCTTGACCATGCCACCTGCTCATGTAGCTTTTCCGAGGTATCAGTGTGTTCTGTTCACCTTAAATTAACCAGCTGGTAAAGTGAATATTTTTCACTGGATGAGAATATGAGCAAGACTTGACGTATGAGCTGAGCTGGGCCTGTTCAGAGTGTGTGGCTCATAAATAACTCCAAAGCTAAAACTGTTGCGTGGGCACTTTCAGGGTCACTGTATTTTACTCTTTGTTAGCCCATGTGCCTCAGTGAATTTATGATGACTTGGAGCCCTGATGGGGATTGTTTTTCTTGTTCTCTGGTTTTTATGACAAATGACTTTCTTTGTGGATAGAGTGGCCATATGTCCTGGATTTTACAGGTTGTCCCAGAATAATGTCTTAGTTTGGAAGATAAATTATGTGGTTGCCCTAGATATTAAAAGAAAAACATTGGATTTGGTCATTATAACTAATTATATTTTGATTATATTACTTGAAGGAGTTTCATTGCAGATTTAAATTTGGTCGTACTTATTTTCCTATTTCTAGTTGTTCAAACACAGCAAATAACTCATGTACACTTCTATTTGGATTAATTCTTCAGTTGTAATTTAATTCATCCAAGTACCTGAAACAGTATCAAAATTGTATTTTAATTTTATGGAACACTATCAATAAAACATTACTTTCTGAGAAGGAGGCCCTTTTTTGGAGGGAGCGGAGTCTGTTCTGTTTCAAAACATTCTTGTGTTTGAGATTTGGCTAAATCTATTCTCATTGCCACTAAGGGACCATTTCTTTATACATTCTGCAAGTATTACTCTTATTATAGAAACAATTGTTTTCTTAAAAATGTACTACCAAGAAACCAACCCACATACTTACTTATCATTACTGTATCTATTTTATTACTTGTCCCACATTTCTCACTTAGAGATTTACTTGAACTGTGAACCAGGTTAACCCTAGAAGTAGAAAAATATAAAAAAGATTCATTATAACTGAAGAAAAACATTTTCCATGTATATTCTTCCTAAAAATAAAGGAACTTTGGATAGTATTCATTGCACAGTCAGTTCTTCATCCACAGGTTTCTCATTTGCCGATTCAACCATGAATCGAAAATATTTTGGGGAAAAAGAATCCCAGAAAGTTCCATAAAGTAGAACTTGAATTTGCCACATGCTGAGCAGTACGCTGAATCCACTTGAATGAAATGATGTGTAGGCATACTCTGATGTAGCTTGTATGCCAGTAGAGGTTATATGCAGATACAGTGCCATTTTATATAAAAAGAGACTTGAGCATTGATGGATTTGGGTATCTGGAGGGTCCTGGAACCATTTCCCCATGGGCACAGAGGGATGACTGTATTTTTGTTGTAGAAATGTTAGCTGCTTTAAAAGGAAGTGAAAAAGTATGTAAAACTTATATTGCATATCTTACTTGGGATCATTTTTAAGGAATGCAGTTTATCTCCTAAAAGACTGAATGAAGTTCAAGGCTGTGACAGTCTATTCATGACTAGAATGTGAAATGTAGCCACAATGTATTATAGTATTTTTATATTTTTCCACAAACTTAAATTGACCTATTTTTGGTTTTATTTTGTTTTTCTTTTTCCAGCCTTTACCAGGTGCTGGTCTCTGGATGTTTTTTGTTTAAACTGGAAAAATCTTAAACCTGCTGCCCACAGACTGGTATGGTATCCAGTGAGATGGGACTGCCGGCAGTGGCTTTTGAGGAGTCTGAGGTGGCACAGGCAGAAAGAGTTAACTCAGTGTAGAGCTAGTGTTTGGCCACTCCCTGCTACTCTCTATGGGCAGAACACTTTTCTCTCTAGCTTACCTGCTGTTCTAGAGAAGTTAGAGGTTAGACCTAGCATGGGCATTTCAGTCAGTCTGAGCACTCCTCAGGGAGCGGTATATGACCTAGACATTTGACTTGATAAGTCATATTTGACAGTGAAAAACAATGTTATTGATAGTAGCAATGCTTCATATTATAGTGATCGAGAAAGGAAGTGCTTGTTTTGTTTGTAAGCATTTTGTTCTCTGAACAGATAAGCTGCTGCAGTGGCTGCTACAACACACACCTCACTCCACCTCTCCTCCAAACAAAAAAATCAATTTTGGGTGTTTGTCCCTTCTTGGGGAAACACATGGTCAACTACTGCCATTGAGAAGAGCGACACCTGAAAGGGCCCCCTGACCAGTGAGCCAGGCTCATCTGTGTTAAGTTGAAACAAATGGCAGGGGCATGGCTTGGGTGTTGGCTAGCAGGGAGCTTTGTTGAAGGTAGGGTTTCCTAACTGCCCCAGTAGTTTCATTGTAATTAAGGACCTGACCCTTACTCTGAAACTAAATGAAAAGGTACCCTTTTAAATAATTAATATTCATTCGACACCTGATTAGATTTTATTAAAAATTTGGGTGGTTCTTCCTAAATAATGTCCAAGGTTTTGTTTTTTTTTAAATTAGAAAGTTTTTGGGGTGGGAAAAGTGGTCATAGAAATCTGACCACTTTTAGGATTTGGCTAATATGAAGTGATATAAATCCCAACTTTTAGTTTATTTTAGGCTTTGGTCTGTGGCAGTTTTATTTATGCCAGTCATTATTGACACTGGCTTTTAGGAAGAAGGGTTTTGATCAGTTTTCTTATTATAATTATTATAGTACTTTATGCTTTAAAAAGGCATAAAGATGATATTAAAACATTCCTATCTAGGAAGTTTTATGAATTAGACCTAATAACCTAATTTGGCAGGGCATTTAACTCTAGGCAGTATTTCCAGTTCCTTTCCTAGCCAGTGAAAGGTATGTGTTTTAGTTTTTAATACTATGGTCTATAATACTTCTGAAAAAAGGGGCTTGACTATCATTTATAGAACCTAAGTTTGCTACTGATTTTTAAAGAAAATGCCTGGATTCATCAAAAGCATCCGCTTTGTCAAGCATAGAAAAGCCTGTCACTGTAAGGTTGCCTTACCATAAAAGTAGAAGTCACTTTAGAAGTTAGTGCGTGGAAGGCATTAGGTTCAATAGCAAAATGTTTTTCATATTGATCTGTCAGCTACAGTTATAATTAACTTTGAAGATTCAGAATTTGTCAGTTTTCTGGGAGAAAAACCATCAAATTCATAAACTCAATTTTGGATAAATTTAAATGTGATTTTCAGAGTGATTTTCTTAATCTAGGAATGAAAAATATCTGACTTATAGAAGATGATTTATTATCTAATGGTTGACAGATGTCTGTTTCGTTGAGGTTTGGAAGATATAATAAAAATCAAATTATTTTTCAGCCTTCCAGAAAATGTTTTCCTTCTTCCTCCTCTCATTGCTTTCTATACCCTTCAACAAAAAAGCATTAAAAGGAAAAATATTCAACAAAATCAAACCTTGTATTCTCTCACAGATTTCTCTTGGAACTAATTGCCTGATGAAAAGGAAATTACATTTTTGAACTTATTTTTTTTTAATCATCTCCTGTCTTCTAGGTAGCATAAAGAATACAATTTTAGGGTTGTTGTATAAATTGTATGTTCCTAGTTTTTTTGTGTGGAATGTCTTTTTTTCTCTTTAGGGCAGGAGTCATCTCACCATTTCTAGGTTCCTGTATGATAACTAGTACAGATGTACATTTTTAGTAGGAATCGAGGAAAATTTTATAACAACAGATTTGCACAGACTAAGTAATACTTGGTTTTCAGTTTGGGGGTAAATGATAATGCCTAGTAAACAGCACCTGCCTGTTACATCCAGGAACCTAACTGGCTATAAAGTATGTTACTCTTCAGAAGATTCATTGTGGTGCTCTTTATGAATAATTAGTATTTTTCCTCCCCCTTTAAGGTGCTTTAAGATCTTGATGAAAATACCACAGCAGGACAAGAAAGGGCAATGTCATGGTAGGCACTTCTCAGTTGCTAGAGAAGTTAGGCCACTTTGTTATGGGGCCGATGAAGTTTTGTTCTTAGTTCAAAATGATAAATATTCTCACTGACTTGTGATAGTATAGATTTGTCTTTTCTGTGGAACTGAAGTATATTTTGAAAGTGTTTTTTTTCCTTTTTGTAAAGAATGTCTTGTTGCGCCGTTTTGCTAGACTGAAAGTTTCCTCATCACTTGGTGAGACACTCCTCTAATTCAATCTTTGTCTTTTGTCTTTGCTGCCTTGCAGGGTTGGTTCAGTAGGCTTCACTAGACTTAGCTGCAACTCAGAATTTCTCCTCCAGCACCTGTGTAAATGCTGATGGTCTTGTGGAGAGTGGATTAAAAGTACGAGCTAAGTTCTCAATCCCAATTAAGAAGCGGAGGAAAATTTAAACTGTCTCCTTGAAAGTTTATCACAACCATCACCATCAAGACAGCAAACCAAAGGACAAAGACTTTGACCTGCTCTGTTGCTCTGTGTAGTCCGGTTCACGTATGGTTTACAGACTTGGCTGGGGTACTAATGAGTAAATAAAAAGTCGGACACTCCTGTCATTGGACACTTTTATTCACAAAGTTTCCAAAATGAGGGCTGTACTGGAGACAGCAGACATTGCCATAGTGGCCCTGTATTTTGTCCTGGTCATGTGCATTGGTTTTTTTGCCATGTGGAAATCTAATAGAAGCACCGTGAGTGGATACTTCCTGGCCGGGCGCTCTATGACCTGGGTAGCAATTGGTGCCTCTCTGTTTGTGAGCAATATTGGGAGTGAGCACTTCATTGGGCTGGCAGGATCTGGAGCTGCAAGTGGATTTGCAGTAGGCGCATGGGAATTCAATGCCTTACTGCTTTTGCAACTTCTGGGATGGGTTTTCATCCCGATTTACATCCGGTCAGGGGTATACACCATGCCTGAATACTTGTCCAAGCGGTTTGGTGGCCATAGGATTCAGGTCTATTTTGCAGCCTTGTCTCTAATTCTCTATATCTTCACCAAGCTCTCAGTGGATCTGTATTCGGGTGCCCTCTTTATCCAGGAGTCTTTGGGTTGGAACCTATATGTGTCTGTCATCCTGCTCATTGGCATGACTGCTTTGCTGACTGTCACCGGAGGCCTTGTTGCAGTGATCTACACAGACACTCTACAGGCTCTGCTCATGATCGTTGGGGCACTCACACTTATGATTATTAGCATGATGGAGATTGGCGGGTTTGAGGAAGTTAAGAGAAGGTACATGTTGGCCTCACCCAATGTCACTTCCATCTTGTTGACATACAACCTTTCCAGCACCAATTCTTGTAATGTCGACCCTAAGAAAGATGCACTGAAAATGTTGCGGAATCCAACAGATGAAGATGTTCCTTGGCCTGGATTCATTCTTGGGCAGACCCCAGCTTCAGTATGGTACTGGTGTGCTGACCAAGTCATCGTGCAGAGGGTACTAGCAGCTAAAAACATTGCGCATGCCAAAGGCTCTACTCTAATGGCTGGCTTCTTGAAGCTTCTGCCAATGTTTATCATAGTTGTCCCGGGAATGATTTCCAGGATACTGTTTGCTGATGATATAGCTTGCATCAACCCAGAGCACTGCATGCAAGTGTGTGGAAGCAGAGCTGGGTGCTCTAATATTGCTTATCCACGCCTGGTGATGAAGCTGGTTCCCGTGGGCCTCCGGGGCCTGATGATGGCAGTGATGATCGCAGCTCTGATGAGTGACTTGGACTCTATCTTTAACAGTGCCAGTACCATATTCACCCTCGATGTGTATAAACTCATCCGCAAGAGTGCAAGCTCCCGGGAACTAATGATCGTGGGGAGGATTTTCGTGGCTTTTATGGTGGTGATCAGCATTGCATGGGTGCCAATCATCGTCGAGATGCAAGGAGGCCAGATGTACCTTTACATTCAGGAGGTAGCAGATTACCTGACGCCTCCAGTTGCAGCCCTGTTCCTTCTGGCCATTTTCTGGAAGCGCTGCAATGAACAAGGGGCTTTCTATGGTGGAGTGGCTGGCTTTGTTCTTGGAGCAGTCCGTTTGACACTGGCCTTTGCCTACCGTGCCCCAGAATGTGACCAACCTGATAACAGGCCAGAATTCATCAAAGACATTCATTACATGTATGTGGCCACAGCATTGTTTTGGGTCACAGGACTCATTACTGTAATAGTTAGCCTTCTCACACCACCTCCCACGAAGGAACAGATTCGTACCACCACCTTTTGGTCAAAGAAGAGCCTGGTGGTGAAGGAGAGCTGCTCCCCGAAAGACGAACCGTACAAAATGCAGGAGAAGAGCATTCTGAGATGCAGTGAGAATAGCGAGGCCATCAACCACATCATTCCCAATGGGAAATCTGAGGAGAGCATTAAGGGCCTTCAACCTGAAGACGTTAATCTCTTGGTGACCTGCAGAGAAGAGGGCAACCCGGTGGCTTCCTTAGGTCATTCAGAGGCGGAAACACCAGTAGATGCGTATTCCAATGGGCAGGCAGCGCTCATGGGTGCGAAAGAGAGAAAGAAAGAAACAGAGGATGGAAGCCGGTACTGGAAGTTCATAGATTGGTTCTGTGGCTTTAAAAGTAAGAGCCTCAGCAAGAGGAGTCTCAGAGACCTGATGGAGGAGGAGGCAGTTTGTTTACAAATGCTGGAAGAGCCTCCCCAAGTTAAACTAATACTGAATATTGGACTTTTTGCTGTGTGTTCACTTGGAATTTTCATGTTTGTTTATTTCTCCTTATGAACTTTTAAGGATGTGATGAGACACTAACTTAAGAAAATACTGGTCTTTGAAAAACTTAACTGTTGCATCTCTCAGGCATTGTTTACGCTGTAGGTTTTAGCCAAATTTTACTTAGCAGAAAATCATCTATTTGCAAGACTTTATTTTCCCAGAGATGGATGAAAGTAAAATTTCAACCTAAATGAAGCAAAACTTGTTTAACAGACTGAATTGTGCAAATGTGGTTTAAAAATTTTCATACCAAAGTCAGGAGAGACCAATTATTCTTATAGAGCACTTAGAGCAGAATATATGCTAGGCTGTCATGAAGAAGGTATACTGTGTGCACTTCCGAATCTTGGTAGACCTGAACAAGTAGAAGACTTGCTCATTTCCAAATTTGTCTCTGTAATCCCTACTGCCATTTAAAAAAACAAACTGAATTCGTAGACATTGTGTAATCAGTTATGTACTGAAAATCTAATGTGCTAGTGGGGTACTTGTTTCAGGACAAGTTAGTTAGTTGCCAGGTTCATTTTGTTAGCATGAGCCTATGGATTCTGATTGCCAAAAGAAAGGAAGAAGACTGTCTTCCTGTAGCTATTCTTGTACCACCAGTATCTGGAATGTTGGGAAAAAGTTTGTTCCAGTTCCTTTTTTTTCCCTGTTTTAACTGACATTTAGTGAATCATACTCAAGTGACCACCAAGTCTGTCTTTATAAAGTTAGATGTCATGATTGTATTGTTAAATGATTATGGGGGAGAAGATGAAGTAAACATTGCTGATGATCCCCACTTTTATTGACCGAATCAAGGTTGTTTTAATAGTTTGGGAATCAGCAGCCCGTAAGCAGTGTTTGATCAACTTATGCTAAACAGGTGATTGATGACTCATACTCCACTGACTGTCTAGATATGTTCTTATCGTTTGGTAACATTTTTTATTAGCCAGATGTCTTCCCAAGTAGATCCAGTTGGAAGATGTATCCAGAAATTTGAAGAAAAATTGACACTGCCTTTGTGCTGGGTTGCCCTGCTTGATTAGATCACGATATATTGAGGTTGAGTTATTGATGGAAAATTTAATTCTGAGATCATATTGTATTCTTGATGAGTTTTTTTTCTTGATATCCTTTTTTGTTTTTTTCAGAAGACTTGCCATCTATAACCGGCCTTTATGTTTTTGCTTAAAAAGTTACAGTGACTTTTGGAGCATGAGGATGTTTCAAAGCAAACTGGTCATCAGTAACCGAAAACTCAGAGTGCATGCTTTGCCATGGGTAGATTGTCAGTATAGTTTTTCTGTAGAATGGGTAGCATGTTCAAAAGGTGCCATGAACAAGAATTTCTGGGTTTAGTGGTGTGTCTTGTGGAGGATATTACAGGACTTGTGTAATTACAGGACCCTTTATCTTGACATGGCTTGGTACACAGTTGCAACCTTCATAGATGGGAATCTTTTTCACAGGCTAATTCCCCTTCATGAGGACAGGGTAAAAAAGATGTGAGAGCGAAGCGCTACAGATACTGTAGTTCTGTGTCTGCGTGTATGCAACACTGTCCTTTTTTAAAACTCCATGACAGATGAAGGAAACTAATTGTGTATCTACTTTCTTTGACTTTTCTGTAATTGGATACTTTTTAAATTGCATGATTTTATTAAGCTATATTTAGGGAAATTATTACTTTTTTAGATACTTTTGTAGATTTTGAATCAAAACTCAGTCCTAATGACTTTAAATTTTTTGTATTCTATAAACAAGTTTCATTGTGATGGACTTGATTAGTCCAAAGTTGATTTTAGAAATTATCAGGTAGCATAATGTCTTCCCATCTCCAGGAGGCTTTCTAATGGACTGAGTCTGTAGGTGAAAACATAATTCATGTATGACTAGCATGATTTCTGAGAGCTTAGAGTGCCTTGTAGAATTTTTTTCTCAATTTCATTCTTAAAGTTTGTAAGTTGGGGGCCAAACAAATAGGGACCATTCTTTTCTTATATGGAGGCTGTGACATGTCCAAGGTTACCAAGTCCACTGGGAAGAACAGAAAACCAGGCGTCCAAATCTGGATTCATGGTGTGTCTATGGTTTTGTCCTTTTTTTTTCCTCTCAAAGAACTGTTCTTCCTTTGAGACAACATTTCGATATTTGGGGAAATAATAGGATCTTAGATTTTCAAACTGGCATTCAGTTGTAGGAATTAAAATTTTCTTTGACTCGGAACACACTGCTGTGTAACTCAGTAGTGAGGATTGACATATTGGCCGGGCAGCCTTCTTACTGTTTATTTACAGCATAATAGGTGGTGTTTATGTAGATTCCTCCCCCCTTATTTAATGTTGATTCTTAATACTTTGGATTATTAGGGTCCCCTTACCTTCTGTCTGCTGTTGTCTTAGTATGATACATAAAATAACCATCGTGTGTCTATTTGTGTGTATATAGCAGTAAGTCAAGTTTAGAGTACTCATGCCTGTAAATAAGGAATGACTATTAGCATATCCATTAGGATTGTTTATTCTTGTCAGTATAAACATCACTTTATTTAGACTGAAGTCCCTGAAGCTTGTCCTTCTTATTGCTTCCCAGAAATAGATAATGTGCTTGAAAGTATGTGAATTCTGATTGCAACTTCATTTCAGGGGACCATACTTCAGTCTATATTTCATTAGAATGACTGACTGTTCACGGAATGATACATGGTCTATCTTAAGCTAGCAGAATGTTCATACTTTACACTAATGGGTCCTAAATGATGTCATTGGTCTCTAGACATTAACATGTATATATTTTTATATTGGCTCAAGCTAAGGTTCAGAATTGACTAAGTGTGGTAGTGACTAAAATAGTTAGCTAAGAGTCAAAAGTGAAGACCCTTTGGTCTTCAGAGGTGGAGAAAAATGTCTCATCTGCTGTGAATGGTAGGTATCCCCAGTTCTTAGATTTTTGTCCTCTCAAGCAATCTTAGTCTCAAGATGTAATGAGAAGAGTTTATTACTCTGGTATGCAGAATGATTACATTAATTCCTTCGTGGGACCTCTAATTTCTCTGTTCATCTAAGAATTTTTTTGTCCTGCAACCCCAAGATAGTAAGTGGCTTTTGAAATCGCTGAGCCAGTCTTTTTCCCTGGCGATTCTTTCCTGGTGAGGTTATCACTATTTAAGTTAGAGAAGCATCAAGCAATAGCCATGGTGCTGTGTCCTTATGCCTAAATTCAGTTCTGATCCATCTCCCAAAGCTTCCTTTTCTCTTGGCTCAAAGGATCCATTGTCTTTTTGGGTCACATAGCGATAGCTCTTAGGGATGGCACCTCAAGTAATTAGCAGGGACCCATCACTTCGTGAAACTTCACATTTTAAGAATTGAGTGGAAAGGTTGTTAGTTCTCTAACCTTAGGCTAAGTGAGGGTGAGGGAAGCTGAAACGTCTTGTCCAGGGTTATTAGTCTTTAATTTTCTGTGTTTCTCATTCCATCGCTTTCTTCCCTGTACTGGGTGCATGGATCTTCCCCTCTCTCTGAATATCACTTAATGTAGCCTATGGGTTATTTTTCTCATTCCTTATCACCCTGAAGACTAACTATATTATTAGCTATTAAAAGGTTAGACCTGCCAGTGTTCCCACTTGGCAGTATTCAGCTTACTTGCTTTCCTTATACTTCAGTTTCATCTGTCATCACTGTCATTTTCATCTGAGGTATAGTGGCTGGAAAGGACCATATGGGTGTCTAGTAGTGATACCTCACCATTCCCCAGGTTTGGGTTGAGAGATGTACAAAGACCATTCCTTCTGTTAAATTATGTGACTACAGAGACTTGCCAGGACAAAAATTTTCCTAAGACAAAAAGAACTGTTGAATGAGATGCTGAGAAGTACCTGGGTGATACAGACTGAACAAGTTGGTTAAACGATAAACATTAGCTTAAAATGTGCAGACAGAATTATATTCATTGAATTCTAGAACTTGAAGCATCTTGGCTATCAGCTAGTTTAAACCCCTCCCCATATAGATTAGGGTACCAGTGAATAAGAGCCAGCCTATTAAACCCTGGTTTGAGGTTAAATATTGAAAAGTATGAGTTTCTTAACATATTTGAGGTTAAAATGACTGATCTTTGAAGTGATACTTCAGAAAAAAATGATTTTAGGCTTCAGTATTCATAAGATTTCTCATTAGCCAGGTGTTTACATTGCTTAAGTCGTTTCAGTGTTGACATTAGCCTGAGTAGACTTCATAAATGGGGTATATTTCTATTTTTGTGTATACCCACCTACCGTTCAGAGAGACTGGTCTTTTCACTTTAATTCTTCACCTATTCTTACTTTTCAACACTTATCAGATTCCTGTTTTGATCTTTTGTCAGTTTAATGCACTTTCAGGCTTATTGCCATGGTGTGCACAAGTGCTGCTTTGCCCCAGTTTTGGAAACTCGTTCCAAATAATGATTCATTAAATATAGTTGTGTTTAATAAAAATTTTATTAGCTTAAACTGTTAATTCTCAAGAATGATTTTTTCAGACTTTATGTTTACTATTAATAAAAGCCCTATGAATTCATCAGTTTTTTTATTCTCAAAACTCCTTTTTCAAAAATTAAGGAGGCAGTAATAGTTAAAATTCATGAGTCCCTTTGAAATGATGGTATCACAGAGCTGAGAGGAACGGAGTTTGTTTTGATGCCAAAAAGCCTTGTTCTTGCTGTAATTAAAGGTAAAAAGTTGGAACTAGTCAGTAGGCATATATAGAAACCCTTTTGTACTAGTTGGGTATGAAGCTGGATTGCATGACAAGTAGTCTTTTGATTACTCCATCCACTTGGTTAGACTTGGTTGACTTAACTCAAGGCTGCAAACTCCTTTTCTTTCATTAAGGACACTTCTCTTAATTAGGTGTGCGTTTTGTCAAACTCTCCCCTCTGTTGGAAGACTAGGTGTTCAGCTCCTTTGATTCCTAGAACAGAATTTAGCTAAGGTTCAAAATAGTTAATAGGCTTTGCCAGTGCTGAGCCCCACACCATTATTCACTTAGTCACAGAAGTGTTTTTGTTTAAACTTCTCTTTCCAGTGCTGGGAATAAGGCTTTAAACTACTGATTCACCTTTAAAGGAATGTTGTGAGAATTAATGGAATTTATATTTCTGTTTCCATCTCAAATCCTTTATAAGATAGGATTTAGTTTTTTGCTTTGGGTGTAAACACCGCATTTATCTGATAACTAGCCACCTTAACCATTGGCATATAGTCTTTTACTCAGAAATAAAAAACATTTGATGTATCTGTATCATTATTCATCCCATGAACTCTACTTTCTAGGGCAGTACCATAATCTGAAGCTGTTGACTTAAACCGTTAACTTTATTTTATGTAACAACGTTTTAAGTTTGGTTTGGTTACCTGGATTCATACAGCGTGTTTGAAGAGAGGGATGCAAGAATAAATAAAGCAACTGAAGTGCAAATCAAGACACACAGCACAGTGGTCTCAGATTCCTCTTAGTGTAGTAGCAATGGCTTTGCTCTCCTCAGTGAAGCTCTATTCCGTAATTGTTACCCATGATGGTAATATCCCTGCCCCTGCCAATTCGAGACAGTTTGCATTCAGAGAACTCTTACCAATAGGGGAAATAATATATTTCATTGATTCTGGCAACAGCACAAGTTGACAACTAGTAGATAACCATAACCTTACTGGAGACTTATATTTTATATCTTGGTAAATTCACCTTGTATCCCAGTGTTGCTGGACATAGGTGTGTTTACTTTTCATTATGGCCTCTGGACTTAAACCAGTCTGGTTAATTTTTCAATATACCAGTGTAGCCTAGACTTAAACTTTAAGTGGAATGTTCCTTAATAATTCACTTTTTTTTTATTGTTATAATAGTTGGAAACTGAAATTAAGCTCATTGCTATTACTGAAATCCCAGATTGGCAAAGGCCAATGTATAGGGTATTCCATGATATATAATCAGCTTCTGAAATTTGTAGGTTTTGATTCGTGCTTTCTGGTTGCCAATATTGACTCTGCTATTTCATACCTTTCTTGATGGAAAATTCTTGTTACAGATTCTCTTTTTGAATTTTGTTATAACTAGTAAAGGAAGTAAAAAAAAATAAAATAAAAATAAAAACAAACGTTTATATTTACATACTTTATATGCAGTCTTTATTTAGGTTCAGAGAAACCAGGTAGCTCTAATTCATGTTGCCGCTTAAACATTATTTATTTATCTATATTTGTTTCTTTCCTTAATTAAAAAATACAAGGTTACTTATATTAATTCTGTGAGTATATTTTAACTTGATCGTTTTCCAGTGTAGGTTTGATAGGTATATCTGAGAACTTGTATGTGACCACAGTTTCACATTCCGTGATAGGGAAAAAGCTTAAAGTAAAGGTCCATAGAAAGCACAAAATTATGTTCACACGTGTGTATCTCCACATGTAGAAAGCACAAGACTAACAGTATTCTCGTATCCCACAAGTGCCAGTCATAAAGCCCACCAGGCGTGTGTGTGTGTGTCCGGGGAGGTGTTAGGATGGCGGAGCACGATACTGAAAGCTCTAGACAGTGAGGTATCTAAGTTATGGGCCCTAAATGAAAAGTAATTCAATGTAGTATTTTGAATAAGTTTGTGTTTCTTTGGTGGAGGGAGAGAATACAAATGTCAAGAATTTTGCAGTTATATTTGGGGGTTACTAGCTAAAATGGAGTCTGTGGGCTCTTTCCTGCAATCTGGAAGTAAGGAAACAGGACAGACTTGTAGGTTTTTGGTGGGTGGAACAGTTTGACAAACAGATTCTGCTTTAAGCTGTAGAGCCACTGGAGTTTTTTTATCTTAAATCTTGAGGAAATTTAACTTCCCATCAATAGTACACTAAAAACATGGAGAAAGTTTGCATTTTAACAGGGCAAATACTACTTGTCTTTAATGTCTGTATAGGTTTGTATGTAAGAGATGAAATTAACTTTATTTTTTCATATACTTGACTGCACTTCATATTAGTAGAGCAGAATTTGATCCAGGTGTTCCGAGCATCAAGCTAAGTCTGAGACAAATCTGCCAAATTAACTCTTTTGCTTTTCACAATGGTTGTAAGAATCCAAAGGATTCTTTGGCCTGTCCCATTACCTGTTTCAGGACTAGAATAGATGAAATCTGTGAATGTGTGTGCAAAAGAAAAGGCTGTGTTTTGACTCCACGTGGCATTGCCCCTATCTCACCCCTAACTTTCTTCACCTAAATATTCCCTGTTTATCAAGAATGAATAAATGTGTCTTTGTTTGGGTTTTGACCATATGTCCAATAATATAAAACTCACAATGGGAGAGAACTGACTACTTTTGTTCCCACTCCCCTCTAGTTTGTATATTTATCTTAGGGAAAGACTTGGTCAACTCTAATAACATATGGAATTAAGATTAAAGCTGATGTACACTAATGTGACATGTTTTAGAAGACTTAACCTGAACACTTCGAGGGAGAGATTCTCCCAGCAAAAAGTAGCCAGGTGTGTACCTACAGCATTATTTTAGAATGTAAAACCTCAGGCTTTGTGGGATGAGGGGAGAGGAGAGCCAGAAATGCAGGAGAAAGGAGAGGTTTGAGGAACATCTTTGGCTTAGCAATATGTGAGAAGGCAAAGTAGTTACAACCTGTTAGTCCTATGTTGTATTGTTTTGTACCTTTAAATGTTGTTTTTAAATTTAAAATAGTTTGTAAAAACTTAATGCTTCTCAAGATTCCTTTGTCAGAATATCTTTTGTTTATATAATTCCTTGGAAAATTGCTTTAATTATATAGGTGAAAGTAGTCCTAGCAGTGTAAATATGTATAATTAGAATTTTCTAATTTCACTGTGAGATCTCTAACTTTTGAGTGGCAAACAGATCAATAAGTCTTTTGCTCATGGATTTTTCTGTGGGGTTGTTAAAATGCAAAAGCTTTATTTTTTTTAATAATGACATATTACATTAGTGTCAGATGATGGTATGGAATCTGTTCCCCTGCTTTTCCCCACCATTATTGCTTCAGTTTATAGATTGCCAACAGAGTTCAGGAATAGAGCAGGGATTTACCCATTCTTTGCTTGGACATCCCTTTTTCTGTTGCCCAGACCTATGTTGGCAATCACATATGAACTGTGTTATGCTTCTCAGTGCTTTTTTTGTTTGTTTGATAAGGTGGATATCAAAAATAGTTGCTGTGCAAAAGTTAGTAGTCTTCTTCAAGAAGAAAACCAATTCCTTTTCTAATATCCTGTGAAATTGCTTCATTCATTTCTTTATTTTTAAGCCAAATGTCAGCAGAGTACTGCTGCTTTTATCTAGTAATTTTGATATGTAGGTATTAATGCATTTTTAAAAGATGTCTACATTGAAAAATGTTTTTCCAGTGTCCTGCCTGTTACACTTTGTTCACATTTTCTGTAAGAGACCAGCCTGTACACTGGGGGTGTGCAGTGTGTATTGTGTACATGTATCATTTCATCAGTTATGCATTGTAGACCAAGTGTGATTATTAATGAAGTTGTTGCGTTATTGGTGAGTTTTTTGAATTGTAAACTAATTTCCAGTGTACCCTTCATTGTCTACAGCTTTTTTTCTTTTGTTTTTTTTTTAAGGTTTGACTAGTTGGGTCTATCTCATGCAGTGTTTTAGTTGCAAGCAGAAAGTAGAATTTGATATAAACCAGGTTCAATATTTCCATATTGAAAAGAATACAATTGAAACTGTAGATTTAGGATTGTTAACCATACATGACAGTTCTAACTTGACTATTCTAACCTACTGTATACAATCTGATTTTTTAAATTATAGACATGTATGATCTTGGTTTAATGTGTTTTTAAAAGTGTTATTGTTTAAAAAATGAAAAAAATGAAGCAGTTCTGCTAAAGAGCTGTCAGTTTTCATTACTGACTCTGTAAAATACACTGTTCTTTGTGTACTGTGTGTTATTTTGCCAGCTGCTGCATTAGCCTTCAAAAGTATTTGGAAACTTAAGATGAACTACATTTCTTGCAAAGTATATTCCTTTCTGTGGTATTTTGTCCTGTAACTGAAGTATAGTAATTATTTTATGGAAATGTTAGCATTTATGTACCAACTTTGAATAAAATGAAAAATTTACATTTCTGTGGCTGAGTATTTTCCGTATGAGCACATCTGCAGTCAGCTGCCAATGTCCTGTCTCCGAGTTGAAGAGCTTGTCCCTCAGACCCTTTTCTCTTGGCTCCTGAATGGCTCCACTGAGCTTCCCCCACCAGTCATGGCTCTTGTTAACCTTTGTAAACACCGACTCACAGGTATTGACTGAGAATTGAGTTACCTGTAACTCACTGAGTAAGTAAAAATACTCCTAGTTTTTTCACTTCTAATTTTGAAATAAGAGTATGAAGGACCTAGGAATCCTCGTCATCCAGGTTCACTGGTAGCTAACATTTTGCCACATTAGCTTTGTCATTCTCTGACCGTCCACACTTCCTGAACTGTGTGGGTAGAAGCTGCGGACGTCATTCCCCTCTGCCCCCTAAGTACATGCGGATAGACGAGTATTTCTTAAGACAAGGACAGTCACTCATCTAGTCACAATATCATTATCAAAATCTGGAAAGTGACAGTGGTACATTTTTTAAAGTATTGAAATACTGCTTCTCCATTAATGCCCTTTTTTATGGTACTTTTTTTTTTAAGTTCAGAAGCCAATCCATTTCATTTAGCTTTTACATGTGTCTCCTTTAATCTAGAACAACAGTTCCGTGGCTTTTCTTTGTCTTTTGTGGTATTGACATTGTTGAAGTCTAGGGATCAGTCATTTTGTGAGTGCCCCTCCTCAATTTGGATTTATCTGTTTCCTCACGATTAGATTCACACTATGCATTTTTGGCAGGAATACAACATAAGCCCACTGTGCCCACAGCTGCACACTGGGAGGCATGTGATGTTGTGTTGTCCATTATTGCTGACATTAACTTTGATAATACTTGCTTTAGGTGTAATCTGCCAGGCTTCTCCACTGTGAAGTTACTCTTTCCTTTTGGTAATAAGTAATTTGTGGGGAGATAATTGGAGACTATGTAAATAACTCATTCCTCATTAAATTTGAACCCCTACTTTTAGCATCCATAGATAATTCTTGCTTGAGTAAGGTATTATCATGATGATGCAAAACTGATTTTTTTCCTAAGGCTTTTTGGGGGGCTATGCTGAAACCAGGGACCTCCTCTTTTTTTCCATTTATCAGTATGAACTCATGGATTATTTAGTGGGCTATATCTTACTGTCATTTTGCTCAGATGTTTCCAGGTTTAGCTAGTGAGACCCCCTCAGGCTACTTTCTCTGCCGTTTGTGACACTTCCATCATTTTTTTAATGCTTTCTTATTTTCTAGCACAACATGATGTTCCAGGTTCATTTTATACTGTCCCTGCCGCAGTCGGAGTAGGCCTTTAGTAGGGAATGGTCTTGAGAAATCAAGGGCTGGGGGGACTCCTCCTTGCAGGGTAAACACGGTCATTAGTCTGCTGATGCCTCCAGTGCTGAGTCAGCACCAGAGGTTTCTCTCCTTCATCTTTCTGCCATTCTATGCTTGTATCTTCTCCAACAGCCAGAGATGTAGTAATATTGACACATTTGCTCACTTTTTTCAATCCTACAACTCCTTAGAATGGAAAGTTTTTGCATTTGGCTGAATATTAGCATTCTGGATTGGAAAGTATTTTACTTCAGAAATTTGTAAGCATAGGACCTTTTTTTTTTTTTTGCTTCTAGTCCTTGTGTTCTGAAGTTTCACAATTATGTGCCTTGATGAAAGCTTTTCTTTCTTTGTACTGCCTCTCAGTGGGCTCTTTCAACTTGGCAACCAGTGTCGTCCTGTTCTGTGATTATTTTTCTCCTGTGTTTTTCTTTTTTGGAACCCCTTTTTTTCAGCTTTTGGACCTTCTGAACTGGTCCAGTTTGTTTCATACATTCTTTTGTATATTGATTTTCATCTCTTTCTGTTCTTTCTAGGGGTATTTCTAAACTTTATCTTCCAATCTTTCTGTTAAAAAATTTATTTTAAATTTCTGTCAGATTTTTAAGTTTTAAAAAGTGTCTTTGTTCCCCAAATCTTTTTCTTTTATAGCCTCTTGTTCTTGTTTCGTGGGTGCTGTATCTTCTCATCTCTGAAGATACTGAGGTTTTCTCCTGCTGCATTGTTTGTTCAGTTTTTTTCTGTTTGTGTTGGTCTTGCATGTTCTCAAATACTGCTGATCTTTATATTTAATAGGATGGACTAAAAATGCCCTGACTGTGGGTGGAGCTTGTTGGCGTCATTGTTTGACCTTTACCACAGGCTGTTGCTTGGATGATTCCTGCAGTGAAGGTCAGATGCCCCAAAGGAGACTCTTCCAGTTTTTGATTGAAGGATAAAAGGCCTCAGGCCCAGTATTCTGGGAGCGAAGCAGGGAAGAGCCCAGGGCTCTGAGCACTTGGTGCGCGTTTTCTGTCTTAATCCCATTTTGTATGATAGTCCCACCTGCAGCTGTGCTTTGTCCTCCAGTCCAGAGAAAAAAACCTCCAAACATTCATCTAGGGATCCAATTACTCCTTAAACTTTCAACCAGCTTTTTCAATTTTAATCTTCCACTTCATCCCCACTTTCAGAGGTACCCAGCGTTGCCCCCAGATCTTTTAAGGAATCCTAAAGTGTAACTGTGGTTGACTCTTGGTTTTCCCCATCACTGCTTTCCTCCATTTACTTCCTTCCAAATTTGTATTGCTGTTATCCCCTCTTTTCTCTCTCCCTCATTCTTGAAGGCTTGTACCTTAAAAAACAAACAAACCTTTACATAGTTCTGGTAGTTTTCAGGAGGGTGCATTATTGGATGTATGTGTTGAACCCTCCAACTTCCCGGGAAGTCCTGGTATCCACTGGTCACTTACATTTGAAGGTTGAAATTGCAAAGCCTCTTGCCCGTTTCTTCCCTGCCCTAAAGAACATGTGACCATCAGAAGCACAGTTGGAGTTTTAAAATTCTGCTGATTTCTGTAAGTGCAAAACTGATAGTGGTTCACATTTGAATGGGTGTTAGAGGGCATATATTTGATTCTTCTGTACAGTGCATGAATACTACCCGTCCAAACCCTTTTTTTGTGAAATTGAACATACATACTCAGCCCATGAAACATGAACAGATGTACAGTGTAGGGAATATGGTTGATTATTGTTATTTGTGGTAGTTATATTCTATAAAGTCACCTTGAACACTGAATTAGTGAATACTGAGTCCTTGCCCCTTGGGGAAATACATGGTTTGGTTCCTGTAAGCCTCTGGCTGGTCACCACATTTTTGTCAACTGATCAGTGCATAACCTTGTTTTATGTGTGTTTCTTGTAGATGTATATAGTGTTAATTGGTAAACATTGAACTCCAGGCCAGTAGCACACTAACCCTCCCTTGGGCGCAGCTGATCTCACAGATTCACCGCACACAAATGTTCAAATATCTCACAGTTAAGTATCGTGGCTCATTGCTTCCGTAGCTTCCCCTCTAACCGTAACCTATCGCCAGTCGTATCCGTGACTTAGTACAGTAAATGTGACTTAGTGCCGTATTTCATAGCAGCATCTTGTGTGCAGTGAATCTGTGAGATCAGTTGCGCCTGATGGAGGCTTAACTCATGCCTGAGTGAAGCTTATCTAACAATGCAAGGCACATCACAGCCTCCTTGCACTCAGGAACACTAGAACACTTCAGCACTACACTCGGAGGCCATTTTAAACAGCAAAGTCAACAAAAAGCACCAAAATGCAAAAAACATGGCACTAAATAGACCACGAAACAAGAAGGCAAAACACCATCTTGTTGGACCTCAGCTGGGAATGTGTGTGTTGGGTGACAGATTTTCTACAACTCTGCATGTGCATGCAAATGACTGCTGACCATGTGGGAGTATTGATTTGGGTTTACAAACAGATTTTAGTAGGCTAATTGACATGGATTCCACAAATAATAAGAATTAGCTGTAATTGTGAAGCAAATACCTGTGTAACCACCATCCACAAGAAATTGAACTTTATCAGCCCTTTCTCCCAGAAAGTTCATTCCACTTTAAGAAAGTTCTGATTTTAAAGGGTATTCTTATTGACCCCAAATCTGCCTCTGACCTTCATTTGATAGTCCTAAGTTCTGCTTCCGAAGTATCTTTTCTTCCCTTTGACTATTTGAAGATAATTATTCAAGATAAACATATTAAGTCTCAAAATTAGGCTTAACCTTCTCCATTCTCTGGGGTGTGCAACAAAGAATATGGGCTTCAGACCCTTTACCATCTGGGTCTTTTGATTTTTTCCTGGGCAACTTGGAGGTAATTAATGTCCCTTTTCATATATGGCCTCCAAGTTGCATGCAGCACTGCAGGATAGACATTGCTAATGTTAGACTGTAGGAATGAGAAGTCAGTAAAACAAGGACTACCATTTCCTTGGGTTTTACTCCTGATTCTATTTTGAAGTTTCATTGTTGTAGCCTATGGCAGATTCTCCATCAAGTCCTATTGTCTCTACGTTGGGCTTGTTGACTCAGTTTCCAGAAGTTTTTGTAGCTTTTCAGAGTCTGGGTTTTGTTCTAATATTCCCTGTACACTCAAGTAGTTGAACATCCGTTGGTTTTTTAGAAGTTTAGAATCTTTAGAAGTTTGGAGGTGCCTTTATGAGTCTCTCACTGTATCTTTGTTTTTGTTTCTTTCACCTGTTTATTCCTGGTTCCTTGCCTGTGCGTCTCTGTTTTTAAAGGATGTGTTTTAGCTTTATTATGCATCTCTGCCTGTCTAAAAAGAGAAAAAAAGTTGCTGCTTTCCTTTTTGCAATGAAGATCTTATTTCTCATTGAATTTTACGACTTGGTTTAATCCTGTGTTCCTTACTAGCTGAGTACAGTTAGCTGCTTTCATCTTTTCATTTATTCTTGGTTCATCAAATATTTATTGAACACACTGTGTGCCAGGTTCTGTGCATCTCCAGCATCTAGTAAAGATGAGTCAGATGCAACCTTGGAGAGGCTTAGTTAGGGAAGGAGGCATACTCCTAAATAATTACACTTGCAAGTATGTGGAATGAGAAGAGATACATGAGGATTACAGAGGAAAGG